GAGACATACACATCCCATCCCACCTAACCTATCCATCTGTATATGCATACATACACATAAACACCTATTCCAATTCTATAGTCTGTCAGACCATCCTAGCGACTATCTATACAATATAACTAATATCTCTATTAAGCGCAAAATACTTAGCAGGAAAGGACTTCTAGCCTGTAAGATTTGGGCTCACCTCATCTCGAGCAACAAACTTCTTCAGCCTCGAGCCTGAATCCCAATCTCTCCAGGCTGTTCCATCCATTTCCTCAATTTGGTACACGCCATGCTCTCCAACTCTTGCCACCTTGTACGGTCCCAACCACCGCTTATCCAACTTTCGTGACCATTGTTTCTCAAGGGACGAGTCGTACAACAGCACCGTGTCACCCACTTTGAGTGGCTCCTTCCTCACTCTTGCCATCTTGTCCCACCTGAACTTATCCTGTGCCCGGTTATATACCACCTTACTCGCTGCTCCTTCAATCCTGTCCTCTATGGCTCCGATCTGACGCGCCCTTAAATCGAGCAGTTCCTCGAACGTCAACTCTGACTCGAGGTCCTGCCGCTTCCATGTCTTCAGGAAGCTCTCGATAGGAAACGTTGCATGCCCGCCATACCATAGCGTGGCTGGCGCATAACCGGTGTTCCTCCTCACGGTGATGTTGTCTACAAAAAAGTCCACTCTCAAAAAATCTGGCCACTGATTTGGCCTCCCACTGGTCCATTTTGCCAGAAGGTTCGAGATGGTGTTGTGTCCTCTCTCCACCGGTGCATTTGCTTGAGGGTGTGCTGCAGTAGTATACTCAGCAATCACCCCGTACCTCTTCAAGAGTGCTTTTACCTCTGCACTGGTGAATTCAGACCCCCTGTCCATGACAAATCTGGAGACAATGGGGTATCGGAGGTAATATTCCTCGATGCATCGCGCTAGCGTATCGCCAGTCTCGGTGCGAATAGCCCTTCCGTCCACAAACCCGAAGAGGTTATCGCATGCATCAAAGATGAAGTTAAATCCCACTATCCCCAACGGCATTACTAGCAGGTCCAGATGTACGACGGCTCCAACCTCATGAACGTATCTTGGGTGAAGCGGCTCCCTTGGCCTAAGGGAAAATCGCTCCTAACATGGAACGCAAGATTTGCAATAATCATTGATCATTTTCCCCATACCATCCCAATAGTACAATTCGTGTATCTTGAGATACGTTGTGTCAGTACTCCTGTGCCCTCCAGCTGTGCCGTCGTGCAGGGCGGCCATGACATCGATCTGACGAGCGATCCCACAGACTACCCTCCTGGAATTCCTCCCCTTGCTCTTCATGAATAGGTGACCATCCCTTACCAGAAAGCTCGGTCTCATCTTCAAGACTTTCTCGCTGGCATCTCTTTCTCTCATTTCGCACGAAAGAAGTATTCCGAGTTCAAGATAAACCCCATCATGCTCTTCTGCTCGAAAAACCTCCTTAATCTCGCTTTCTTCGAAATCATCGTCCTCCCTCTCATAGATCACATTCTCACCCCTTTCCTGATCCTACCCAGCGTTTCTGGCCACTTCCTCCTGCAACAAGGCATTCGCCAGGAGGTAAACGCCTCCTACAGACCTTTCATGATCCTCCACCTGCCGGGCTCCATCCTCCATCGTGATCAGGTCCTCACCCAACTGGTGTTTGTCTGCCAAGGCCGGATCCATTATCCACTGCACATCCGGCATCCCCCATGAGTCCTCCTCCACATAGGGCTTAAGGACTAAGTTTGGCAAGCATGCATACCCTGGAGGTGCCAGCCACACCGACCGTCCAGGAGTAATGTAGTTACCTACAGCCAAAGACCAAGAGTAGATGTGAAGTCTCACATCCTCTTCATTCTCCAAAAACCCGTCGACTGGGGGAGTATCCTCAATTACTCCTTCGCTGTTCTTGCCCCAGTCGACTCGACTCAACCCATCCGCCCTATTTTTGTTCCCTGGAATCCACTCCAGCTCAAAAGCAAACATCCAGATCTACGTCAGCCATCTGGCAATGGTTGGATCTGAGGGAGCGTAGTTCTTCAGCGAACCAGCTAGAGCGGTTGGGTCCACCCTCAACACGAACCTGTTGCCAAAGAGGTAGTTTCTGAAAATTCTCAAGCAGTGGAGGACTGCCAAGGTTTCGCGCTTGAACTGAGAGTAGTTTCTCTCAGCCGTATTAAGCGTTCGACTCTCGAATCTTAGCGGTCGCTCCTCTCCATTGAGGTCTTTCTGGATCAAAACTCCTCCCAAAGCGGYCGGTCCTGCATYTGTCTCTATGATAAARRGYCTGGTCATAACAGCCSCATGGTCTGGTACTCCCAATACCAGTCCTCCTTCTTCAAACTCCTTCTTCAGATCCTTTATCACAGACTCCTGTCTATCTCCCCACTCCCAATCTTGTCCTTGGCGCACGAGCTTTCGCAGGTGCTCCGTCTTCGTCGGAAACCCTTTTATAAATATTCTCCAAAATCCACACGTTCCGAGGGAGCTTCTCACCTCAGTAATCGTCTCGAATAGGGTTGGCCATTCGAAAATCTTATTGGTCTTCTTAGTATGTGGCCGACGACCCTTCTCGTCGCACACAAATCCTAAGATAGTCGCTCCTCGCATACAGTGTTTGGATTTCGGCCCACTTGCAGTGAGGTTATGCTCTTGTAGCAAGTCCAGGACTTGACACAAGTCCTGCACATGATCCCAAACAAACCGYCTGATTCCCAGCATTACCTCCTGCTCATCCTTTACCTTCGACCCTTTCACGGCCAAATCATCGATATAAGGCTGCGTGATGTGAGGGCTTACTGACTGCATTGCTCTCACCATATGCCTCTGGACCATGGCAACCGCATTTGTCCACCCCTGYGGTGCGACATTCATGTGGATCAGCCCTCGTGGGGTATGCATCGCCGTCATCGGCCTGTCAAATGGGTAAACAGGAAACTGATCATAACCAGAATACAAGTCTATCAGAGATATTACAGCCCTCCCAGCGCATGCCTCTGAAAGCGCATCTGCGTTAGGGAGGCCACCTGCATCTCTAACAATCACAGCATTCAGGCGTTGTAAATCCTGTACCCACCTCAACGTCCCATTTGGTTTGATAAAACAAAACTATGGGGATGCATATGGTCCGCTTGAGTAGTCTGCCACATGTGTCCGGATCTTCCCATCTAGGTAGTCAACTACCTTCTCTTTGTCAGCAGGATTAGGATAGCGTGCGCCCCGCAAATTTCACGGCTCATGCGGCACAGTATGTATCCTAATCATGAAAATTTTATCCACATCCAGGCATCCTCTCTCATCATCATTGAAGGCATATGCAGTATGCCTTCCTCTTATGGTTTCCACCATAAGTTTCTCTTCCTGCGCTTTAAGGAAGCCAGACTCCCCTATAATCAACGTCTTTTCAGTCTCCGGATTGATACAACATGGCAAGTTCGCAGCATCCTCTCGCATTTGCCGTATCAATCCTCTCTCCCGCTCGTAGTATACCTTTTTTTCTTCCGCTACGAGCACCGGAACAGGGCGGCACTTTTGATCTACCCTTTTGTACCGCCTTTGTGAACCCTGCTTGAGCCCACCTCTAACAAAGGCCGAGTTGCAATTTGAGGTAGGGCTCCCACCATTCCGCCGGTCCCTCCTGGTACCAGGTATACCAGTTTCATCTCTCCAGCTCCCATTTGTTCCACCACTTTCTCCCTCAAGGCCTCCACGGCCACAGGGTTTACTATCCCATAGGTCGACACTATATCCATAGCGTCACCTATGCTCGCCAAGCTAAGGGTCATTGCTTCTGGCCGTCTTTCTTCTTCACTGTCGACTCCCTTTAGCCTTTTCCTCTCTTTTTCTGACTCCTCAATTGTGAAGAGCCAGGGTTGGGTCGATTCCTAATACTCCTAGGTCCTGTGTTCTGGCACGTGACAACCTCATAGTTGCCACACACGGGATCACACATGACCAGGAACATAGTCCCGTCATGCTTATTCAGGATGACGGTCTCTGTTCTGCTAAAAAATGATCGCCCCAGAAGAATAGGGTGGTCGAGGTCGGGCATTACGAAGAAGCAATTCCTCACTTTTACCTTCCCGATCTCCAGCACCACCTTGGATGCGGTCCCCACAAAAATGGACCGACTATTTGCTCCTACCAAAATACCATTGTCGGAGCGGTCTATCTCCATCCCCAGGCGCAGGGCATCCTCCTCCTTRATGAGGTTCATTTTTGCGCCTGTGTCCACCATTGCCGTGCATGCTTTCCCCTTTACAACAACATCAAAACACTCGCACGCCACGGACTTCCAGTCCATTTTCGTACCGGTCTCCGACCACTCAGCTTCCTTAGGGATTATGACCCCTAACCGTACGCTAGCCACCATCTTCCGGCACAAACRTGCCTTGAGCTCTTCTCACAGTCTCGGCGCTGATGCSAAGACATMTTTCAAGTTCATGAGATGGTTATGTCCTTCAAGGATTCGGTCCATAATCTCTTCCACGTCGAATCCTTCCTCCACCCTAACTGTGTACTTCTTCTTTTTCTGCTCTGGGACCTTTTCCGTATCGGCCTTAACGCCCCTCTTCTTGGCTCTTTGCTCTGCCTTTTCATCCTCCTCGTTCCTTAGGCAGTCATCCTCCTCCTCCTCATTCACTAAGGTTCTACAACTTCCTTCTCCCTGCTCGACCCGAGAATATCCTTAGACGACGGTTCCGGACTCGCTGGCCCTCGAGCTCACGTCCTGACCGCTTGAGCGGCCCTCCCAGATCGTGAAGGCGGCCTAAAACTCATCCCTGATCTGGGCGCCCCCCCTGTGACCGATACATTCGGATTGCTCGCAGGCGCCCCCTGCGATTTTGGGTCTGACCCATACATGAGTAATCCTCTTCAATCTCATCGTCCGACTCTACTATGATGGGCTCAGCCTTAGTAGTGCCGGTTTTCCGCTCTTGCTCCACCTTTTCGTTCTCTCCCACCTCTTCAACCCTGTTGTCACTACGGACCCCTTTCTCCTGCCATATCCGAAACATGGCTGGAGGAGCGGGTGGTTCACCTGCCTCGGCTCGTCGTAGGGCCTCCTTCCTTGTCCCGCCTGGGGTCCTTGGATCAAGGTGGTACCCCCACTTGTCGTACATATCCCCATCATAGTTGTTATTGATTAGGCCTTCGTCTTCATCGTTTCTCCGGACATGGCAGAACTTGATAGTGTGACCTTTCTGCCCGAAGTGCCAACAAATGGCGTTCCTCCAATCTATTCTCCCCCTGCCAGCACCTCTTCCACCTTCCTGGCCATCTTGACTCCCGGATGCTGTCCATCCCTCGCTTCCCCCGCCTGCAGCGTTACCACCACTATTCCCTCTGCCGTTTCCTCCCCGACCACCATTCCCTCGTCCTCGGCCCCACCCTTGATTTTGTCCTCGTCCACCGCCTTGATTGCCTTGCGACCCTTGTGGGGCGGACTCCTGGGGTTGGGTTGGCAGTGGGGCTGGATGGCTTACTTGTTGGGTTTGGGGTCCTGGGCAGCCATAGGAAGCCACGCTCATTGACGGTCCGGCACATGATCCATGTGGCCCACTCATAGGCCACGGGGCGTATGAACAGTGTCCATGCCAATGACTCGGAGGCCCACAACCCGGCCACAGCCCATAGGGTGCTGATGCAGCTTGATGGGACGACTCAGGAGGGGTCATTGCCACAGCCTGCGGGACCTGACCCCTCCCCGAGCCTTGGCCCCCTTGAGCAAAGTTCTTTGCTTTCCTCTGAGCCTTAGTCAACTTCTGAGGCTCGGGCTCCTCTTCCTCTTCCTCTTCTTCCTCTTCCTGCACTACTGCCTTTTTTGCTTTCCCTACGATCTGTGGCGCTGCCATGGTTTTCCTTTTTGCCTCCTTCTCTGCGTCGAGCTGGGCCACCGCGTCCTCTATCATTTTCTTGAAATCACGTCCATCATTCGTGGTGGCATCCAAAGCCTTCCTCTTCTTCCTAGCCTGCCTCATTTGGAAGATGTCTACCTGGTCCAGTTCTCCATCCATTACGCCATCGTTTATGGCAGCCCAAGTGAGCTTCTTTCCTGGAGCAGCCTTCTTAGCTAGCGACGAGCCCTCCCAGTTCTTGAAGTGCCCTAGGAAAGTGGCACACTGCTCCTCTTCTGCCAACCCTGGGACTTTCTTTGCCATTTTCTCAAACGCCGTGGCGAAGGACCCCACTATGGAGAATTCGTCCCATCTCAACATTTCCAGGTCTTCTTTGGTGAGGAGGCCGTCACCGAACTTGAAACGTCTCTGCATCTCCTCTTTAAACTTTGCCCACTCACCATTTGCGCCGACCGCTACCTTCATTACCTCAGGTCTAAGCTCTCACCATACATACCTAGGCAGCAACTTGAATTTGTCTGCTTCTGACGCCTCGCTAGTGACCCGCTCCAGCAACTCAAGCCACTCGGACACTCTATCCCCGTTGAAGTGAAAAATGTTAACCTTGGGCACGTGAAGTCGTGCCATCTCTGTTTTTTCCAATGCCTTGACGAAGTCATCAGGTGTAGCACCCAGGCCCCGCTCGATTCCGTCGGCGTCCGCCATCTTTACGTTTTCTCAAACACCAGTTGAGGGACGAAAGGTTTTAACAAAACAATCGGCTATCAAGTCTCTAACTTGCCTACTTTCACCATTCAACTACTATCTTTATTAACTGAAGTAACCTATCAGGTCTATATTATTACTCTGACCCTATCGCGGAAACGGATACACACAATGCACACTTCCGACCTTACTCACAATCAAGGCAGACAGATCCTGTCTCTTATACACATCTAGATGTGTATAAGAGACAGACTCTGACCCTATCGCTGAAATGGATACACACAATGCACACTTCCGACCTTACTCACAATCAAGGCAGACAAATCTGACGTGTCATTGAGAAAGTCACCATACTCGAATCATCGTCAAGGAGAAAAATCTTTCCATCAAAGGTTGTCGTTTTGCCTGGATCATCAGCCTGCTCTTAACCTGGGTTCGTTCACTGTGGACCCCGATAGGCAGCCGAGATCCCCGGCAACGGCGCCACCTGTCGAGCGCATCGATCCCGCACGGGAACCCTCCCGGCCACGTCACGCAGGATTATGCAGGACTTATTGCGGAGAGCGTTTGCCGCTCCAGCCCAGTGCGCCAGCCGTACCTCTCGCGAGTCCCTACGACAGGACAGAGTCACGCGAGGCACCACTACCTCCACCTGCGGGAGTTGTCACCATCCCTTAGGTGGGCGTATCACTGTCGAGCTACTGAACCATATGCGAAGGCTTTTATAATGCAATTGCAGAGGTGGCCCAGCCGAGGGCTTTTCTCGTTCGCTGTACCATAGGGTACGCGCGGTCAACGCCCGAAATCGGACCCGTACGCAAATCGACGACACTAGGGGGCTGAGGTCCCAAGCTCGACTTAACGTCGGTCGACTAGGACGCTCTATGCACACCACGCGATACACCACTTAAAGCAAAATTTAAGTAACCCACGTTCACACACTCATGCACCAAAGCAAAAGAAAAACACAACACTTCCAGTCCCTTTAGTACTGGACCCATAACCTTTTGGTACAAAGATTAGGTAGGCGTCGCATGCTGATTTAGTATAAAGAATCGCGCGATCGCACGGATTTCTCATACCAGTCAGTCATGCGTGCGCTTACAAGTGTTTGCAATAATGGGGTACTATGTGGTACCCAGGTCCAAGAGGCCCTCAGGGATTTTGAGGGTCCCTTTCGACACTCAAATGTCAGTTGACAAGCGCTTCAAGGGTTAATCTTTCTGCGCTAGACAACCGCTATGCGCGGTTGAAGACCACACACCCTCTTCTGCACCCTGTGCAGAGTGGGTAGTACACAGGTTTCATGCCTGTGGTGGCAGAAGTCAAGGGGTTTGACTTTGACGACTGTCACGGACTACAACGTCCAACCATAAGAAAATAGAAAGAGGACAAGGCTCGATATAAAGGCATCGACATAGTCTAACCCATATTGAGCCCCTATGCCTCCCCGATAGTTTTCTCAATGCAATGTGGTGAGTTGCTACGGAGTTGCGTGTTCCTAAGGCTTGACTCAGGCCCTTGAGCGAGACGACGCTCAATGCGTCGTGTGCTCGGGCGCGAGACCCTTCCGCACATCTCCGCAACGCCGACCGTATCGCGATTCTACGTTCAGTGCCAGACCCATAAACTGTTCGGTGTGAGAATCCGCTTGGCGCCGCGTGCCGGATTCGATATAATCCGTGCGGGTCATCGGCCTTCCCATACCGGCCAACAATGTTGTCTCACTTAAGCGATCGCTGAAATATCCTCGCGATACTGAATGGCTGAAGGAATATATCGTAGGGGTTCACCCCTCGCAATATTGAACGGCTTGAAGGACACGCCGTTCAGCCCCTGCGGCACCCCTAGCCTTGAAGCTAGGCAGTCCGGTGGACACAGTTTTTATGCCCTGTGCGCAGGCAAAAATCCCTTGCTAGAGGGTTGGACTTTGGGTTCTTCCCGACAAGGACCTCCAACCCCTGGCCCAAGAATACGTCCGGCTTTTCAACTTAACAAGTAAGTGGGGCGAACACGAAAATGAGGAGAAAGGTTATGCCTTTTCCCTATTTCGCCTTGGCCCATGACTCACCTCCCACCACCTATACGAATCGTTTATGGGGTGGCGTGTGGATAGTGTTCAGGTCAAGCCCTTTAGGCAGCCCAACGCTCAGAACATTTCCTCGCTCGAGCGCGGGGTTCCCATAGGGCGAACCGACCTTATGACCTTTTTTACGCGTCGTTTTCGTTATATTTTGGCTTACGTCTGGACCCTTATCGTCCCACCAACCGAAATCACGCAAAAATATAGAAGGCATAAGTGTGTGCTCGTGCACCCGTGTGAGGGCTACGCGAGGGACATACTCAAATGCCATAACACTTAGTCAGACGAAGAGTTAAGTGACGATACAGTCTCACAATAGTTATGTGGTTTGTCCGCCTTAACTCAATACAGCCAGAATACCACAATCATTCAACATGTTCCACACATACCTGTGAACACACACAAGGATCAAACAACAGAACACACACTAAAGGGATCAATTTTTCAGCCTTCTGCAACTCACACCCTGCCTTATGCACACAATCCCAACCTTTTCCCCACCATTCCAAACAAAGATACTCAGTCTTTTAAAAAAATGGCCATTTACAAAGAATCTGGGTGAAAACCCAAGAAAACATAAAACCAGTCAGGGCCAAGGCCTTAGGTTGAGAGGCAAAAGAGGATGAGAGGTTGAGTCGTGCACCGACGAATCGGCAACCGACCTGTTATCAGTGATAACAGAAAAATAGTCAGGCTGACCAAGTCAGACCTTCAATCAATATGCACGGCCTGCACCACAGCACAGGTCAAAGAGATTCCACTACAGCGTTTAACCTAAGTAGGGAGTAATCCTCCTAAGTCACATTCTAACTCCTCTACTAAGCTCCTACTCAGCTTCTGAGAGGTTCAATAACACCTCCCCTACTCAAGGTTGAGTTGCTAAGATTGGTCTAACTGAAAATATTATAACTCTCCAAATTTCCCAAAATTTCGGCAGCGCTTCCCGTAGGAAAAGTGTCTTTTCATAATTTCTAGAAACCTGAATATGACTAACTCTTTTCAGTTCTGCAGAAATTTCGGCAGCGCTTCCCGTAGGAAAAGTAGGCTGCCAAGATTTATACAAAGCTGAAAGTCAAAGTGCAAAGCAAAACTATACTTGGGGCCAACTCCTGATCCCTGCTTGACAACTTAGGTTCATATTGGTCCACATGCCCTCTGAATGAGGCCATGAGCCAACGCTGATCCCAACCCCCAGCAGAGTCAGTCCTATCTTATCCCAAGTTTCCCTCCCATCATTCATCTTATCTACCTATGGCTCCAGCACTCGGCGAGCATCTACAACAACTACTCTATCAAAAGATGTCCCAAGTGAGAGCCCACGAGCATGCAAGCGCAAACATCTCTCACAATCCCACATGGTTCTTTTCCAGGCCACATAGTTCGTTCAAAAACCCTCATTATTCTCTTTTTACCCTTCCTTACATAAGACATAGGGTCTGCCAACCCAACTTATGGATGTGACTGACCTGCCAGTTTATATGACTAGGCCACACAAAGTAATGGTGCCCTAGCCTGGTAACACAAATATACGTACGCGTAAGACCAAACCACACCAACTCATGATGTGACCAATTTCTGCAAAACAACCGACATAAGGCGTATGATCGGGCCGCACTAACTCATGGTGAGGCTGGTCAGCCTGAACATTCGGCATACACATAGAACTGAACCTCCCAACTTATGGGGGTCAGCCTCTGCCTAACCAACGACAAAAGGCATATGACTGGACACAACAACTTATATTGTGCCCGGCCAGCCCAAACAGTTACATACGGCGTAGAGCCAGGCTACCCAACTTATGGATAGTCCAACCCAGCCTAAACAAAGCCACTTGCGCGAACGACCGAACAACCCGCAACTTATGCGTTCGCCCAACCCTTCGCAATACAACCATGTTCAACTTTATAGACATAAGGCTTAAAACTTACCACAACAACTTATGTTGTGATAAGCCTCTGTCTGAACAAATGACATAAGGCGTATAACCAGGGCGCACCAACTCATGGTGAGACCTTATCAACCTAAACACTCGGCATACACAAAAGACTGAACCACCTCAACTTATGAGGGACTCAGTCTTTGCCTGAACAACGACAAGAGACAGGGGAAGACCATTGGAGAACAGCCCGACAGACGATGGAGAATATGGAAGACTTAATGGATAAAATTCGAAGGTACCAGAAAAAACTGGTAGATTTATGCGAAGAGGTTAAGGAGTGGCAAGGGCAGAGGCCACAGACACAACAACTTATGTTGTGCCTGGTCAGCCCATACAGTGACATATAGCATATTACTAGGCTACCCAACTCATGGATAGTCTAGCTCTGCCTAAAACAACAACAAGCGCGTGTGACCGAATAACCCGCAACTTATGCGTTCGTCCGGCCCCAGCAACACAACTACATCAGATAAATAATTTTCACAACCGATTTCTTTCTTCAGACGAGTTGTCAGGTCACCTCAACCCATGAGGACCCCCACCCAGACGCTAGTTATGTTTAGAAAGGGAAAAATATCCAAACTTTATATAATTCTCTGCTTTGTGTTATCAAGGACATAGGACTGATTACCCAACTTATGGATGAGTCACCTGCCCAAAGTTACCACACCATTTTACACTCTTAATCTTTTTTTTCCTCTGCTTTGTCTGCTACCGGCTTATATGGCTGGATCTCCCAACTCGTGGCGCCCAGCCTGCCACGAATATACATAATAGGTAATTCTATCACATTATATACTCTAATTCGCT